GAAAACTTCTGTAGAACTCTTGTTTTACATGGTTATACCACTTGAACACATACAGCGAAGCAGTAGTATTCGTCATCATCAAGCTCATCACCATCATCTATACTTTCACTATTACTTCGAGAACTATACAAACCACGATACAATTTCAGAATCTGGATAGAAGAAGCGCATATCTGAAGTCGATCAGTGACAATATTTCTTGATGGAATAAACCTCTCTTCCTCATATTCGCCATTGATGAAAGAATGTAATTTCACAGCAATGAGCATCATGTTTCTTATATCACCATTATTCTCAGCGGTTGTAGTTTGGAATGTTCTGGAAATTTGATACTGAATTCAGTTGACAAATGTAGTTGTAAAATTTACATGAAAATGAATTAGAGTCTTCAATATTTTCTTCTCTTGAACCGTAGTGGTATGAATAAGCGAAATTATAGTTTTGTCGGTTTGTTAATTCAAATGTAATTCTTGACACTGAACAACTTGATAATTTCAAGAAATTCAAGTTCTTACCCATCAGATGCATCATTAACCTCATTTATTTATGTCGAGGAATTTTGAAAAAAAATGAGCATAGCACATAATTCTAGAATCCATCCGATGGCTGCGATATACCTACGAATCCACTACGTCTGTGTGAAAAAATTGTGAAATTTGTATATCGCTACTTCGAAGTTGGAAACCAACTCATCAGAAGTCGAATCTTTTGCGGGGTTAGAAAGAGCGTTAGCAAACTCATCAGATTCAATTATAATAATACGAGTTATTTGGGTATTTTGACCTAAACATACCAAGCTATACGATTATGAAGATAATAGTAGTTCTCAATCACCTCATCATGAATGAAGTGGATTTCCAAAATTATCGTTGTAGATATACAATGAAAACAGTTACCTTTTGGGTCTTTATTGCTTGAATCAACATCAATTTCTTACTTCAATTCAGTACCTACTCTGTCTATATACTACCCAGGTAACAAGGTGACGTCATTAGTACGTCATTATCACGTCAGGCCTGACGTCAGGATGACTTCCAAAATGACGTCATAATGACTTTTATATGACCTTTTAAGTCGAAGACGAATGAAGTAATTCTCATATCGTCAAATGACGTCATCCGAATGGCGTCAAAATGCCGACATCCTAATGGCGTCAAAATTACGTAATCTTCACGATTATTTATATCACTGAAATATTCTGCACGTTTCAGTTCATTTTGTGCTATTTCGAAATTTTATGTAGGTAAAAAAACACTGTTGTATATTAGGGTTATATCAATATTATCAGAAAAGATATGATTTTTTTTTGTATAATTATATCGATATGATCCTTTACCACATTAAATACCAAATAATATTATAGGTATAGGTACCATAATTACCAGTTTCATAAAAATTTCTTTTTATTGGTAACTTATCCCATTCGGATGATGCAATCGAGAGATTTCTCAGAGCCCTATGGTATTACTTCAATGGCGGCCAATTCACATTCTGCTTTTTTGGCGTATCCCACTTGTCTAAAATAATGGCCAAGTTGCCATCCTCAAATGTTACTATTTGATACATGATTATGAATAAGTATGACCACCACACCAGACCACATACCTAGATAGCCAATAACATGATAATGATGGCCTTCTATATATTGTTATTTTGTTGTTATGGTCATCATGGCGGCAACGGCGAAGCGAAAGTGAACGGCGATTCGCAACCGGCAACTGCTTGACGCTTGGCCGCTTGGCTTGGCTTGGCGCTGGCGGTCGACGTTCGCATGTCTGCGCAAGGTCCGTGCCGTCGAGGTGCCGACCAATCGAGTACAGTTTTCTACGCACTCTCCCGCTGTGATTTGAATTCGCATTGCGGAATAACAACGTTATAAGATTTTTATGACGTGAAATTCGGTCTGATATGTTTAATAGCTATAGAAAGAATACTTTGCACAGAAGGTATATAATTGACAATTATCTCAGAGACCATCGAAAAAATTATTATAAAGCATAATATATCCCAGCCAGCACAAAGAGGTCCTAAAGATATCTTGAAGAAATCCTTTCAGGAAATTGTGATGCCTTTTGTAACTTCTTAGAGAGATCGCCGAGAGTGCTATATCTAGGCCAAATGTCCGCCACCTAGGCTGAGCTCAGCGAGGTCTTGAAGATATCGCACGCAGAAATTCTCATACAATGCCCTCAGGCGCGCACTTTGAGATATACGCTTCCATCGCCACTGGCGATGACTGAAAGTGCTCGCAATCATGAGCTGTTTGAGAAATTCGCATACATTGCTTTGTGCCTTTGTGACGAGGACATTGGGAGATTCGCATCAATTGCTTCTGTCGAGGTCTTTAAGTGCTCGCGACTACGAGCTGTTTGAGATTTTCGCACGCATCGCCTTGTGAAGAGAACTTTGGGAAATTCGCATCAATTACTAATAGCGAACTCTTCAAGTGCTCGCAACTATGAATTGTTCAAGAATCCGTGCACATCACCTTATAACGAGGCCTCTAAGAGCGATATTTGCATCAATCGCCACATGATCGCCACTAATATGGTAAGGTGTTCAATTTTTGAGAAGTCATTGGTTATCAGCAGTCTCCTGTCGGCGAAGTCTAACTAGCGCCAGCTATATTGTTTGGGGTGGAGTTAAATTTACTGGATATTTGTTTCAGCGAAAAAGATTGAGTTACCAAACTTAGAGTTAGATCAACGTAATGAGCTTTAATTATATATTATTCTATAGCAAGACATTGATAAAGTAAACTTTATCACTTGATAAAATCTCCGAGGAGTTGGCCGGGTATCCTTTAAAAAAAAAGGTCGTCCGATATCTACCCACGAATTTGAGGTAGATATTTGATTCTCGATCCCACCTGAATTAGAACATTTTTGTCTTTTTCGTCAGAGCAGATAATTAATTATCATTAATTCACTGCAAAATTTGAAATAATCAAGAAGAAAATCTAGTATCTAGTATACAATTATTATTATCATAGATTAATGACTCCCATTTCATGTTAATACTGGGTGTCCCAAGTTATCGTAAAGGTACCGGCAAAAACTTGCTTACTCGACAAGATGAACAAAAAATAGTAAAAATGCTTCAAATGACATCAGAGAACTTTCTTTATGACTCAAAAAAAAAGTGTATAAGATTGGACAGTCACCTGGTAGCAACTCCTCAATTTTCATTTAATGGACTCCCTGTATATTGTCATTGAAAATTGCCAATCATCCTATTTCGGGAATGAACGATAGCACATCGGTACTTTGTATTCTGTTCATTAATAACAACATTAACAATACAATTTTTTGACCTCATTTACGTTACATCGATTGAAAATTGCCTCCTCCCATGTTCGTAAAAATGTCCCACAATGAAATCAGATTAATTATTACACTGGGTAGGTACCGTCTGCAATGATTGATGTTCTGCAGTTCAAAATGGAATATCTGTCATTAATATTTTGAAACAAAAATGCAATCCATACTTCTTATTTGTGAACTTGAACACATGGGTGAAAGCAATTTGTCATTTGAGTAACGTAAAAAAGTCACAAAATGTTCATGTTTTTGTTGTTATCAAGAACAAAACACCAAGTATGTGCTATATCGTTGTATTCCAAATAGATTGACACGCAATTTTCAGAGACAATATGCTACTAGATCAGTATCTACCATCCGGGGGCTGCCAAATATATCACATTCTTCATAAGCCATTAGGAAGGTTATTTAATGCCATTTAATGCAGTTTTTTAATGCTTTTGATATCTTGACAAATAGGCGAGATATTGCCTGTAAACGATAACTTGGGACACCCAGTATTTGAATTATAAGGGCTATTGAAAAAAACAACTCAATATTTTTGTAGGAATATTCATTAATTATTCAGGTTATGTTTGTGATTACTTTAGGAGCTCGCAATGGGAAATTCTCGATCTTGTTACGTCCAGGATATCCTTGGGTGCTCGCAGAAAGAAATGCCTAATCATTTCCTGTTATAGATAACCTCAAGGATTCGCGATAATGAGGAATATATCAAATCTGAGGCGAGATCTCCGCGATTCCTTTCGGACGACTCCAGAGAGTATTTCCCATGGTGATAGCCTATAGTGATCTTTGATACCTCGCAGAAGGATTTCGCATTTTGATCCTGAAGATAACTACTTAGAGATATCGCGGAGAGTACTGTGTTACCTGGGATGATGAGGGACATAATAATATATGTTATATAACATAGCTAATAACGTGTTGAAAAGGAATATTCTCAGATAAATTATGATCATACAAAAATGGATATATATTTATATAAAGCAATACATTGAGAATTCGCATTCTCATAATTTATCTGTGAATATTCCTTTTCAACACTTTCATACCCAATCAGGGGGTTCAAACTTGAACGATGGAAACTTGTGATTTTTATAGACCTCTAATCGCAGATTCGTGATAGAGTCTCAATTCAGAATTTCTTTCCACGCCCTGTATGATGAATGTCAATTTATCATACACCCAAAAGCATAGCTAATAACGTTTTCATAAAACAGTGATGGAAAACTTCTTGATTATGAATTTTTCTTGTATGTAGATGACTCAATATATAATGGTCATAATTAGTCATGATAATGATCATCATCAGATAACGTCATATTGACGACATATCAAGGATGTCCATATAACGTCATATTAAGTACTTCAAAATGACGTCATTTTAGGGTCATATGACGTCAATGACCATAAATGACCATATATTGACGTACAAATGACGTCAGCTTGTTACCTGGGTACTATGAACAGGAGAGGAAAAGATAATGAGACTACCACAGAAGTATATTGATTACTTTTGTTCACTCAAAAGTGCCACATTGCGAGAACCATTCTACTGACGCGTTATTGCTCCTCAAATTTTGACAGAAGCATGTTCATGAACGTGATATATATTTCTCAATAATCTTCACGTCTTTTCAAATAATATCTACATGATCATTATTTTTCTTTGCGAAGGAAACTAAGAGGCCATCAAAGGAGATGCAAGTAACGATAGCTAGGCAGCTAGGCTTGGAACCAACAACAGTAGGAAACTTCTTCATGAATGCGCGACGAAGATCAATGGACAAATGGAAAGACGAGGACCCCAAGGCAGCAGCGCAAGCGCTACTCCACCAGCAGATGTCACCAGACATGGATCACGACGATTTGGATCAGGACGGCGATATGGACAATGACCTGGACGATCAAGATGATGTCTTGTGACATGCGTTTCGTGACAGACAATTGTTATTGCTGTGACACTTCATATGAGTGTAGTGTTCCATAAAACAATTAGCATATAGTGTAGATTCACCAATTGTGTATTTGACCTAGTTCATTTCATTGATTTCCTTGTCGTTCACTTCATATTTTATATTCAGACATTCTCAGAAATTGAGCATGACTCATTGTGAAGTTTATTCCCTATACAGACTCACTTTGAATCTGACTGCCTACACTAATCTACATAGTTTTTTGTGAGCATCATGTACCTGCCTAATAATAATAAGGCGGTACCTACTAAGATTCATTGTATTTTCACTCTCAGAATTTCCCTGAATACATGAGATATCTTCTCATTGTACGATAGCTCAACTTGTCATAACATAAATGCAATTCAGTTTCTATAGGAAATATTCAATCCATGAAAATGTAATGCGCACCAAAGATATGGTCATATAAATTTTGAGTAGGTTGTCTAATCTGAACATTTGATATCGAACTAGTCTTGAAAATACTCTTCCAATTCATGAAAAAGTTTGAAATAGTTTGGATAGGTGTTGTGAACAAATCAATATCAATATAAGATATAGCAGTTTTTCCCAAATCCAAACACAAATATGGCATGAGCCGATTGGATCAAGATATTCTGCTATAGGCTTCTACAATTTTTTGCCTCCATAAAGTGGAAACCAATAGATGGAAACACGTTCCTTGTTTGAGCCAAATAGATATTCGCAATATTCATAACACTGGTCCTGTTTCATGTCATTTGAAAACTATGGCATGTTATCTGTTTCCATATTATAACGCCCCTCTACATATCTTATGCAACACTGAAAAATATTTTGTCCTTGCAGGACTTTAGTAGAGAAAAAATACTAATTAATTTCTATAGTTCAGCATATTATACCAAAATTCATTGCTTTACTCACAGCAGTGGGGTATGTTCAATACCCCTGCAATATATCGTGTGCTGGCTCATCAAATAGGTACTTGATAAATGACGTGAATATTAGGACCTTCAATATTAGTGAACATTTTGTTGTTTCTTGGAAAAAAACTTGTGATTTTAATGATCCATATCGAGTTTTGAAGAATATTTCATAGATACTCATTGGCTATTTCAAACACGACAAATTGTGAGTAGATGATTCCCAGCATTTGCGTATTCCTCTGACTATCAATTAGTGAACATTGTTTATCGTTTTTATCCAATTTATACCTCGAGAATATTGAGTAGTCGACACTTGTTTTCCTATGTTGTTCCTTGTAAAAATGTTGAGTATATATATTTAATCACCAGTAGTACAAAATTTTCACTATACTCGAATCATTACGAGCTTCCGATCACTTCAATTGAGGTAGCCCCGTTTGATTTATAGGAATCTCCTCTTCATTTTGTGATCGCATGTTACCGATCCATTATAAGTCAACCGTAAACTTACATTCCATTTATTTTATCAGATCTGGAAATAGGTATCTGATCTTAGTGATACTGTTATATAGTTTTGTAGGCTGAATTTGAAATGTGAATGGAATCAGCTTTCAATTGTGCTATACACAAATATGAGAAACATTGATTCATCTGATATTATTAGAGGAGACATTTATTCTAATCAAAAAATTTAACGAATGCTTCCAGGCAGCGTTCAGTTCCTCTAGACTCAAATTGAATATTTTAATGTTCATAAACTGATTGTATACTGTTTTTTTTTTGTAATCTCCATCAATATGCGCATGAAGTTACAGAATTGTTGAATATACTGGTTCCATTTTTCATGAGATTACTATTTTTTACTTCGGTGAGAATTTCGAACAATTTGTCTTTCATGTTATGAAGAATCGTATTCATATATTGTATTATTACTTCAATATGTTATTTTTGAGTTATCTTGAGAATACCAGAAAAATAGGTTGAAATGATTCATAAAGATGGTCAGTGGATCTGCCATATCGGCAATGCACTGACCATAGTATTCAAAATTGAATGCATGGAAGATTAGTCAATGACACTTTGTAGAAAGAGAAACATGCCAGAGATCAAAACAGTGATGAGCATCGAAAGTAGAAAATTTCAAGAGATGGTGAAGTTTGATGAGCGTGGCCACAAGGAAGGGTCAGATGATCCTGAACATAAATAAAACATACATAAAACACAATATCGTATTCTTGATCTACGTTTGAATATTATTTTCTGAAATCCTGATGGATTGAGAAATTCGAATCGCTGACCATTCTTAAGACTTCATCAACGACGTCTTGCACCAAAAAATCAATCGAAGTATCATTATGAAAAATTGGTTTTCATTTCTGATATTTTTGCATTATTTTGATTTCAATAATCTCAAGCTATTACAGCAGTATCGCTTGTTACACCTGGCAACGTTAGCACTAGCCTATATTGAATGACTTCCATTATTTCACTGAGATATAAGTATATCGCGAATAATTCACCTGTGATGACGTAGCGACACTAGGGCTGCGGATCCTATAAAATGACGTGATATTGTGATATCTAAGTATACATTCATCCACAGATAGGGAGTTCCAAAGTATTGACACTCTTCAACAAATAAGGAATTCGAATGATATCTATCTATCTATCTATCTAATTTTGACTATTATCTCGAAATTTCGACTATAATCTCGAAATTCCGACTTTTATCTCGAAATTTCGACTTCTATCTCAAAATTTCGACTCTTATCTCGAACTTTTGACTTTCATCTCAAAATACCGATTCTCATGGCAGAATTTAGAATATGTTCCTAATATATCGAAATACTAATTCAATTTGAATAATGTTCAATCCCCTGCAGTATTCCTATGATTATGTTCGCTATTTTCGACTCTAAAATTCATTTGTTTCTACTGAAGGTAGAATTATAACCAATTTCTCGATCACAGAGTGAACAAATAGGCATGAAAATTCGGGGGAATCATCCATCATTCTCGTAATGGTCCAGAATTTCCCAAAGAAAAAGACAAACACTCACTTTTATGACCACATAAAATTCATCGAGTAAAAAGTCGAACTTTCGAGATGAAAGTCGAAATTCTGAAATAAAAGTCGTGATTTCGAGATGGATGTTGGAATAGCGGAATAAAAGTGGAAATTCTGGGCTAAAAGTTGAAATTCCGGGATACAAGTCGATATTTCGAGGTAATAGTCGAAATTCCGAGATTGAAGTCGCAATTTCAATGGACAAAAAAAATAATAAACGCGTTGCACTTCTACGCTCCGTACTCAATTGATTCTTCTGAAGAGCATTCATTCAGGAAGTTATAATAAAGTCTCAACTTACGATAATGCAAAAGTCATATTATCCAGTTGAGTTCATTTCAATTACGGAAGTAACCGGCTCGATTTCGAATCGAATAAAAAAATAAGAATAGATCCTCCTTATAGGTGAGCCCTTGCACGTCTGCATCTCCATCATGAAACATGCAGCGGTTGGACTAAAGTAGGAGCTCTAATAATAAAACGGGTGCATCAGAGGTATCAAATCAGAACGCAAAGTAGGTATACGGCTGATATTGTGTTATTGTATCATTGAATCGGTTCTCCATTGAAAGTACCTACTTACCTTACTCCTATGAATGTGGAGTGAATTATTGGAGCTCAATCAGCAGGCCTCTTTCAGTGATCGGTGCTACCCACTGTTCGAGCACAAAATTCGCATTGCTATCAAATTTAGAGTAAGGGTCAAGATGGTAGGTACTTCTTATCATTACAATATCTCTTCAATAGCTTTTTACAAAGTGTCACCGAATATTGTGCAATGATTGCTTTCAAATTACTATAATATATTGTGTTATTGTTGAAAATTGAACAACAGGAATATTCCTGATAACAAATAGATGTATCTCTTTTAAAATATTTCGTCTCATTCCGATCATGGGAGATGATCGATTAATGCATTAACATGAGGAAAAATTCAAAGACAAGCATTCCATTGATATAGAGTGGGGATTTGAAGAGTGTGGCTGAGTATATGAAGACAATGAAAGTTAACTGATATATTTTGAATTGTCGGAGAATCCTTCACATAATTCTAAAAGAAAGTTCAAGTGAACAATGTGAATTCCGATATGCATGATGATTTTGTATGATCTAGTCACAACTAATTTATTGAAATGTAAATAATTATTGTCATCAGTTGTTTAATTTTATGTATTGTATTTATTCACACAGGATAAGATACATTAATTTAAGATGAAATAATGTTAGATAATATGTAATAACTTGTTTCAGTGAGTATATTTAGTTTCAAATTCAATCTTTAGTGTAAATTTCCTAGCACATGTCTATTCAAATAGATTATTCTGAAGGTCAAATACGAATAATTACATTTCTACACAAAAATTTGTAAAATATCAATAACGCTATTTTTGGTAAAAAATCTAAATCTTATATTTTAGCACAAAGAGAACGGTTTGTATATAAGTACGGCTAGATAATGTACAAAATAGCATTTTCCATTTTGTGTTTTTGTATACGGAAATAGTAGTTGAATTTCAAGGTATGTTCGCCATGGCTGAAAAATGTGTATTAAAGCATCAGTTATTGTAAAATCCTCTCGTTTGTGAAAACTATCAAAAAGTAATAGCAATATGAAATTTCAGATTATGAGTGACTTGCTATTACTAGCTTGAATCTTGTATTGGAAGTCTGTGACGATTAAAATAGGTATACTACTTTTAAAATATCTATGTTCACAGGGTGTCAGGAGAGGTCATGTCGTAAATGATATAGGGTTGATAGAGTGAGCCAGAATAATGTTGATAGTTCATATAAAAAATAGGTTAATCGCGCTTCGCTACGGAGTTATTGACCTTGAAAGTTAGGATAAAAAACATTGATTTCATGTACAACATTCATGCGGTTGCCATAGTATCAATGATATTCAGGTAGGTGAATGAACTCATACTAATGCAATTTTCCATATACGTAAACGGTTTTTCAGAGATTATGTTTTATTCAGGATAGGACTATTTTTTCCCGTTTTATGGAAGCATTTTTAACAAGGGTGACGAATTCAACATTTTGCATCCATTGTTTATTGATCTTTTTTTTCTACGAAAATGTCAAACCTAATTTCAATCGATATTTTGTACCGATCTAGAGAAAATCGTATTGAAAAACATACATCCCAACCATCCCAAAGGCGATGAAACTCAATTTATCATCGATGTATGGATTGGATTCATTGGCAACAGCTCGATCATGGATCTCATATCATTAATGGAACTTTAAATGTAAGTAAATATTCAACTGTTTTGCAAGAACATCCAGATCCGTTGTGAGAAGAAAGTCTTTTTAATATCCGTGATGATGTAGCTAATGCACGATGGTGCACTTCCTCATTTCAACAAAACTGTGAGAAATCATTTGAACATCACATTTCCCTATGGTCCTTTTTTATTGCCACCTCGTACACCTAATCTTGATCTACTTGATTCATTCCTTTGGCTATCCCAAATGTTGTCTATGAAACATCTTTGAATATGAGAAATGTGCATTATTCCAGGGTTTTTGGGATTTTCTCTCCTCGTTTCTATAAAATAGAAAAATATGAATATTTATTATTTCAATATACGTGTAGTGAGGACAAATCATCTGATTTGTCCTCACTACAAGAAATCTGGAATAATGAATGTACGACCTCCTCGATTCACCTACAGACAGTATATAAGAAATGTGCTTTTGAATTAAATTCTCACATCTGCACACGCCGTAAGAATGTTTCATCATCAAATGTTATCTCGAGTACAACGCTGATGTTTTGACAACTTCAGGTGGAATGTATGTTTTGAAATTTTATTTTCTCTAGAGCGGTACAAGATATCGATTAAAATAGGTTAGACCATTTTTGTAGATGAAAAATGAAGAAATCAAACGGTGGAAGCAAAATGTGAAATTTGTCACCTGTGTCAAAACTGCCTTCATTGAACGAAAAAAAAAAAAAATCGTCCTATCCTGTATAAAAAATATTCACTGAGAAGCCGTTTACGAATAGAAAGGTGCAATGATATGAGTTAATTTACCTGCCTGAATATTATTGATACCATGGCAACCGTTTGGAAGTTATACATGAAAATCATTTTTTCATTCTAACTCTCAAGGTAAAATGGACATTTTTTTATATCATCATTTTGGCTCACTTCAACTTTCCGGATACCCTGTATATTACAGGACAAGAAAGTATTCAAAATAGGTAGGTACCTATTATTGTTGGGATCACTCTTGCTATCAATCCTAAGGTGAACTTTTTACTCTCACATGGACTGTTGGAATTTGGTTAATTTTGGTATCAGAATATTTGCACTGAGCTATTTTGATTCTAGCTACCTTTTTGTTCAGTATTCATCATTCGAAATGTGAATAATAAACACCCTTCGTGACCAGTTTGGAGTCACGATTTGCCTTAATAAGACATGTTAACTGTTGTATAAATCTAGTTAGCACCTGTCGTCTTTTTCTTTGATGCCCCTTCTTCTATATACATGTTTTTTGTAATCGAAAGTAAATCTTGAAAACGCAAAATGTCTTTTTAGTTCACTAAATTCATCTTAATGTGCATATAAACGTAAATTTATTTGTCTGCAATTTATTCTCTCAGATTTCGGGTTTCTTTTCCAAAATCAATAGAAAATTAGGTACAATAACTTTTTATTACCTATATATTTCTCAATATTTTTCGAACACGTATGAGTTTGTGAATACATGGAGTGAAAAAGGTGAAACCATCGAAGATTTTTCATTAATTTCGTGATAGATATTTACGATTGGTACGGCGAGTAGATATCGAAAAGATTCATACCACGATTTGAGATGGACATCTTGTTTACCGAGCCCGTCAATATCGTAATATGGATTCACGATAAGAAATAAGTACCTACAATATTTCACCTACAACCAATTCAACTGGTATTATTATTGTTTAGGTATAGGCACGTATCATATCAAGCTTATTTCCTATTTGATTCAAACATCTCATCCCAGGTAACGCAGAACATCAATCATTGCAGACGGTACCTACCTAGTGTAATAATTAATCTAATTTTATTGTGGGACATTCTTACGAACATGGGAGGAGGCAATTTTCAATCGATGTAACGTAAATGAGGTCAAGAATTTTTCTTGTTTATGTTGTTATTAATGAACAAAATACAAAGTACCGATGTGCTATCGTTCATTCCCGAAATAGGATGATTTTCAATGACAATATACAGGGAGTCCATTCAATAAAAATTGAGGAGTTGCTACCAGGTGGCTTCCACCTACCACTTCTTTTTGAGTCATAAAGAAAGTTCTCTGATGTCCTTTGAAACATTTTTACTATTTTTTGTTCATCTTGTCGAGTAAGCAAGTTTTTGCCGGTACCTTTACGATAACTTGAAACACCCAGTATTAACATGAAATGGGAGTCATCAATCTATGATAATAATAATTGTATACTAGATACTAGATTTTCTTACTTTCTCAGAGAATGTGTTCAACAGGTCATACTATTATCTCTCTGCCATTATGGCAGATTATTTCAAATTTTGCAGTAAATTAATGATAATTAATTATCTGCTCTGACGAAAAAGACAAAAATGTTCCAATTCAGGTGGGATCGAGAATCAAATATCTACCTCAAATTTGTGGGTAGATATCGGACGACCTTTTTTTTTTAAGAATACCCGGCCAACTCCTCGGAGATTTTTTCAAGTGATAAAGTTTACTTGATCAATGTCTTGCTATAGAATGATATTTGATTAAAGCTCATTACGTTGATCTAACTCTAAGTTTGGTAACTCAATCATTTTCGCTGAAACAAATATCTAGTAAATTTAACTTCACCCCAAACAATATAGCTGGCGCTAGTTAGACTCCGCCAACAGGAGACTGCTGATAACCAATGACTTCCCAAAAATTGAACACCTTACCATTTTAGTGGCGATCATGTAGCGATTGATGCAAATATCGCTCTTAAAGGCCTCGTTATAAGGCGATGTGCACGGATTCTTGAACAATTCATAGGTGCGAGCACTTGAAGAGTTCGCTATTAGTAATTGATGCGAATTTCCCAAAGTTCTCTTCACAAGGCGATGAGTGTGAAAATTTCAAACAGCTCGTAGTAGCTAGTAGCGAGCACTTAAAGACCTCGCCAGAAGCAATTGATGCGAATCTCCCAATGTCCTCGTCACAAAGCAATGTATGCGAATTTCTCAAATAGCTCATGATTGCGAGCACTTTCAGTTCTCGCCAGTGGCGATTGTAGCGTATATCTCAAAGTGCGCGCCTGAGGGCATTCTATGAGAATTTCTGCTTGCGATATTGTCGCGAAAATACATAGAACACTCTGTATATCAGTCTCTACCCACTTCATGACCGAGCTATACGCCAAATTGTCAAGTCAGTAAGATGCCCACAGCGTGCGGGGGACCGGGGGAAGCAACGACTCAAGCAACTGCATTTTATGTATTTGTACCGGCAGTTGTACTTAACATCGTGACATTGTTACAACTCACCAATAAACATCTAAATCGAACCTTTTGGCCTATAAATTCGCCCCAAGTCCCCAAGCAGTGTCACAATATCTTCAAGACCTCGCTGAGCTCAGCCTGGGTGGCGGACAGTAGAGAGGCTATGTGACTATCAGACCAAGCCAATCAGAGACCAGCATCTGGTTGGAGGTCACGCCCACTAAAAACCGGCGCGAAATTCAAATTATTCATACGTCGTCACGTCGCCATCGTGAATAAATGAATTAAAAAAAGCTGTCACCGCTGGGGAATTGAACTAGGGACCTTTGCATTACGAGGCAGCGTATATACGCACTGTGGTATTCCGACCTCCGTAATATTTCAATTATTTTAATGCTATTCAAACGGGATATCCATAGCTGGCGCGCGCTTATCTTTGAAACGGATCTGTAGAGGTGAAGCAAAGCGAGAGATGCGTTCCGGAGATAAGAAAGTTCGAGTCGAAAATAATATCCATCGCTGGCACGCGCTTATCTTTGCAACGGATCTATCAAGGCAAGCAAAGCGAGAGATGCGTTCCAGAGATAGGAAACTTCGAGTGGAAAATAATATCCATCGCTGGCGCGCGCTTATCTTTGCAACGGATCTGTAGAGGTAAAGCAAAGCGAGAGATGCGTTCTAGAGATAAGACACAAGTAATACATCCAAATAAATTTATGGTGAAATATTTCCATGTTGGTTTTATCGACAATATACACACAACACCAAATGAAGCTTATATGCTGATAAGAGTCGTGTGCAGCGATAACCGTCACATTGTTGCCAGACGTTGGAAATTATTATTTATGAAGTCGATAAGGTGTTGTCAGATTTTAAAAAAATATCTGATGTCGCGTAATATATGACATATGACGTATGCCAAATGGTGTTTGCAATATGATGTATGTGGGGAGTGGAAGGATACGAAAATAACTATATATTATAATGAAGTATTTTATTTGAGTAATTCTCTTCTACAAAAATGACATGCCTCTTGAGAAGATGGCGGTCCATCCCAGTGTGTGGTCCAATCGGGACGATTACCCTAACAACACAGGGACATCCTAGGTACGTCCCTTTTATGTCCCAACGTGTACTGTCGGTACAAGGACATGATTGGGACATCCCTAGGATGTCCTGCTCAGTATTTCCAGGGGATGTCCCGACTGGGACATCTCTGAGTTGTCCCATTCACGTCCCTGATGTATATCTTGAAATCTATTTGCTATTTGTATCAGAATTAATATGTTACAACAAAATATTGAAAATGCATATTTGTGATCTCACTGGGAAAATCCAGTCTTTATATTTTCTATACCCATCCAACTCAGTACAGTACATTTCAGCTCAATTTTATAACTTTTGAAATTTATTGATTAGATATTTACTGATGAGAGGTGCGCAGTAGTGCGCACTCCGTGTATATAATTGTCTCTCTGCTATATATGCGTCAAACGAGGACAGACACCCTAATAACAACACAGGGATTTCCTAGGTACGTCCCTTTTTTTGTCCCGCGGTACAATGACATGATTGGGACATCCAGGGGATGTCCTGCAGTGGTTGTCTACTGGACATCCCGCCCGCTACATCCCTAGGTTATCCTATTCGTGTCCCTGGAGTATCTGATGATATCCATTCACATCAGAGTCATTGAATTTCATCAAACTATTGAGTTGAATTTTTTCGAAAATGTTTGTTTCTCTTCCGGAAAATGATTGTAATGAAAATAAAGAATAAAGTCTCAGAGTTTCTTAAGAAATTACCATTTTTCGCAGACAGAAATCGTACATGCATAATGCCCCTCATTTTTAAACACCCAAGAATGATAATAATCATACCCAATTCCTAATAAAGTTGTATTTATTCAGGTTTCTGTAGTTAAGTCCTGTTTATGAATCTGTTCAGTACATGAATCTTCAGGAGGCATGATAGCCAATGGAGCAAGGTGCGTGCATGATAAGCCAAAGGTCCCGGGTTCAATCCCTACTCGACCTGCAACTTTTTTTCTTTTGTCGAAAGGATGTCCCTGGGATATCCTTGGGACGTCCTAGGGATATCCCTTAATCGTACTTGGTACATCCCAGGGACGTACCAGAAGGACATCCCTTGGATGCCTTTTTTAGCGGTCAGCGGATGTCCCTGGGACATCCCTAGTATGTACGTGTTCCCGACAAAGGACATCCCGCCTGGGATGTCCTAGTATAAAATCAGGGACGTCCATGGGAAGTCCCTAGGACGTACTGATGTTGTTAGGGTATGATGAACGAAGCATGGCAGTTTGATTTGTAGGTTGAAGTTCCCAGTGAACACAAACATATATATGTTACATAAAATTAATGCTTTTCCAGAGAACACGTTATGTAGCTGGTAACCTACATGTAACACACATGTGCTCTACAACGCCATAACAAATTCATGTATCTGATATGTAACATCTCAACTTAAATGTTATATAACAATTATATTTTGTTATATATCATCTTCATTTCAACTGCATATATATGATACTTAACATTCTGAAATGTTATGTAACATATTGTATCTTACTGGTAATAACGGGACAGGCATTTGTTCATCTTACTCAAAGGACCTAATTGCAATTGCTTCTCATAATTCCACAGCAGAAGTTCATCTCAAAAGGCTATCCATTTCAAATAA